ACTCCGTTTTAAGTAAAACTGACTACAGACTTTGTCATTCTACTACTACTACACACAGACAATATAAGCAGGCTTTTGAACTCTAAAGCCCCTGTAAAGGGTAACATACTGCTTCTCAAAGGCAGCACCTGGTACGCCACTGAAGATGAACGGAAGCTTTCAAGGCTTTTTTGTTTTCCCAAGCATAAAACCTGAGAGAAAAGGCACTAAAATTATTCGCACAAGTTACTCGGTGCATGCACTGGCACTGGGAACACCCGTTGGTCGGCAGGATCATCTGGATTGCCAGCAAACGCTACTTCAGTGTGCTTAGTTAGATGCAGACAAACAAAGCTCTCTGCGTAGCTGACCTCCATTCCCCGTTCTTGTGTACACCGGCAACTTCCTTGCAATTTCCGCCAGAATTTGCCTCTGCACCTCCGGCCTTTCTTCATTTTCATAGCGTTCTTGGTCGGCGTAGGACATATGGTACTAGGAGCAGAAGTCATGAGAGGAGCTGTTACCCATGGGGAACAGAGAGAATATTTCAAACATGGGCAAGTTTGGAAACATTTTTACCTCCCACTCCTTCTAATGAGCTTAACCTAATGTGAAAACGTGTTTGTTAAGAAGACAAAGAGACATAGTGAGTGCTGGGCAGCCAGAATACTATGCAATATATCAATAAAAGAAATGCAAAAGAGTAATTAAGGATGACAAAACAACATCCTGGAATGGCTACTGCTGCTGCCTTAGATTACTATTTTTCATGAATAAGATTACTAACCGTGATAAGGACACTTTATGCACTTCCCCTGTGAGCAAGAACCTGTCCTCAGCCACAGTTTTATATTTCTAAAACTGGGATTAGTTGATATTTCTAAGTTTACATTCTTGTAATTCAGATCCCATTGCGGTCATGTATATTTGGAGTGCCACACAAACATCATCCTCATTCCATTGCTCCAAACATAGTGTGTTATTAGTATTTCATAGAGAGGTAAAACAAAATGCAAAAAAAATCCACCAATCCGAGCAACATGAAAAACTAAATATTTGGTAGAAAAAGAATGGAAACAAATGTCTGTGTTTGCACTGTGTTTGAGCACTGTCTTGAGCTCAAACCACCAAATCATACCCTTGTCCTAAAACAAGCCACCTACGTTACCAAAACAATACCCAAACCCTTTACTACAGCACTGTTCACAGAACAAGGTACTTCTCTCGGAGTGAACCTCAGTTTCTCTTTACCATAGCATGGTGTTACACTTCTCTTCGTGGTGCCGTTGACCAGAGAAGTACAAGGGCTGGAGCTACTGGAGCTGCACCCGTACCTAGCACCAAAGCAAAAGCCGTACGCTATGCACATGGCCACAGTCTTCGCCGTCACAGACACGTGGCATCAGAATCTCCACATCTTTAAAAGGAAAATGAGTCTTCTATCCCTCACTATCACAAGAAAGAGTCTGACACACGAAGCAAACTTAACCACTACACAGAGGCCTACTCCAGCTGGCAAAGGGCTCCCAGCAGAGCAGGCAATGCTGGACTTTGGTGGGACACTGACCGTTCACACTTGCCCCGTAACACAACCATCTGGCTCAAGAGATCAAGGAACCCCACTACCATTACAAACGCACCCGTTTTCACCTGCACTGTAACACCTTCCATGAAGGGAGAAAACCAAACCTGTAGGTCCTTACTCAGGAGACTCCAGCAAGGCTAGGTTAAGGTTAAGGAAGGTCCTCAGAATTTGGCTTGCAACTTGTTAAATGCTTAGAGAGCAACAATACTATAAATACGTAAGCTAATAATCATCAATCCTATAATTCTCCACATGAAAAATGCTATCAGCTCCTAGAACACCTGAAAAGGCAGCTCTAGAAGTTAACACCATCTCTGATTTAAACCGTGCTCTTTGGGGAGTTCAAGGATTCCCAGGACGGTAAATTACACAGTTTTTGTGGACAACTCCAGATCACTTTCTGTCTCCTTAGGAAATCTGATCAGTTGTCTAGATCAACTACATCGAAGAATTTTTGAGTTCTCTTTAACACCCCTGATTACATTTGGCAACGAATGAAAAAGTGCTTGCACTCTTACCTTTTTGCCTGGCTGCACCGGGAGAGTAAAAATAGACTTCCAATACGTCCACACAAAGAGCACAAAGAGAATATGGAATACTGTAAGATAGGCCACTAAAAAAAAAAAAAGAAAACAAAAAGCAGAAGCAGAGCAATGACTTCTTAACCAAAAGTTTCATTCACAACGGCGTAATTCCAATCTTTCACAACAATGACTAAAAAAACATAGGAGAAAAGAAAAACTTACAGTACCAACCAATATTACAACACAGCTAAACCTTATGGTCAAAGGGTCAGTAGGATTTCAGAGATCTGTGGCTGCAGTTAGGGGTTACCTATCTCACAAGCCTCCCCTTCTCCACCTGATCTGATTCCGTGGGTGAGGAAGAACACGGCTACGAGAGACTTCGCCCACAGGGCAGGTGACAACCCTGTACCGCTGGGAATGACAGGATTCCTGTCTCTCCCCCATATCCGAGGCACAGGCAAAGTAGAACTGGCTGGTACTGAGCAGCATAAAGGTTCACGCTGCATCACTCCAGCATCTCCAAATGTGGGGTTCAGTTGCTACTAAACACACTCAGAATCACAGTACTGTACGATCAGTGTACTGTCCACTCGTGCAATGTGTTCTTCACCACTTGCAAGAGTTGAGAGAAATAACATGCTGTAGCAGAGCTTTACATCACCAGAATAAAAAAATCAAATCTCTTATCAAACATCTTTCAGATTTGTCACAGTTGATACAATAAAACAAATCAGGAAAACATCCCTCAAATTGAGCAAGGCAGGTCTTGTGATAACTGAGAAAGAATTGTAATCCACTAGACACAACATCATCACATGAAATCCAGCATGCCTCAGAGTAATCTTATTTCAATACGCAAACTTTATTTCAAAGCCTTTGGGCATAAGCAGGCATGCTGTGGTTCAGAAAGCCAAAGGACAGCTACCCTTCAGCTACACAAACTATTCGATTGTTACTTCTTTAATACTTGACTCACTAAGACATTTTCAAACAGTTACAAGACGGTTTTATTTAAACACACCATTTAACGATAATAATGTCATTTTCCCCATTTCGTTTAAGCTTCAAATTCTAGAAACTAAGATTAAACTAACTACTGCTACTGGAAACAGATGTCTAAAATCCAAACACTTCCTAACTTCTCAGGTAAGACTGATTGTGTGAAAATGTAATTGGTAAAAAGGCCAAACACAGCTTTGAGACTTTATACTGAGATGACAAATGATCTGATCTGCCTCACAAGAATGTGATGGATTGTGTGACTCATCTGTGAATCAATCATCATTCATTATTATGCTTTTGAGTTTGTTTGAGATGTTATCCTTATACTACATGTAGGTGGAGCTCAGTAATTTTTAAATTAATACGCAAGAAGATAAATCTTGCAACAGGTTTAATTTTGTTGATAAAGCAATACAGCAGCATGTTAGAGGAAGCTGACCTGGAGATGTACTAATAGATCAGGCAACTAATAACTTCCTTCTGGTGAATAATCATTAATATAATGCTTGCTATAGTTTCTCTGTAACAGTTTCAAATATTAGGGCAGCTCTTCAGTGGAAAGAGAATTTACTTGATGCAGCAATCTGGAGGATCTTTAAAGCACCAGCTGGTACATGGGAACAACCTGCCGACTGAAAACTGCTACATCTACTTCTATCCTTCATAACCCTGGAAGAAGAAATGAAGGTAAGAGGCCATCTGTATCAGCCAAACGCCTCCAAAGCACCTCCAGGAAAGAGGAGGAATACTAAAATAGCCACTAACCCCTTATTCTTAGAACATGATGGTGGCCTCCAACACTGCACCAGTGGAAAGAGTCTCATCAAGTGATCCTGTCGCTCTGCCCGACTTGTTCAGCGACCTCATGATACCGACTCTGGGACCTCAGAACAATGTCTGTCAGCCTGCACTACCAAACGAACCCCAGAAGTGTTTAAGCCAAATAACAATGAGACAGAAACCTCTGCTCTAACCCATCTGCGGTAGTAACTGAAAGTTACTGTTACGACCAATGTATGGTCAGTGGTCAACAGAACCAAGCAAAAAAATATTTTGCAAAAGTCTCTCTACAAAAAACATTAAAACTAGCTTTCACTGAAAGATGAAATAAAACAGTGAACAGAAATAGGCGGGCCACAGAACAGAACTAGTCTTTTCTGTTCAGTTTGTAAAATCAGCTCTGAAAACATAAAACAAAGGGAGAAAAGGTGCATGGGTGCATACAGATAGCCATACATAGTTTTTTCTGAAAGAGAAAAAGGGATCAAAGCCTCTTCATGTTCTTCTGCTTTTTCTGCAACTGAACAGGGGCATTTCCCAATACGTCCAAAAGTTACAGCACGTCTAACAATGCATGCTGTATACTTCATGAACGTGTAATTACAGGAAGGAAACACTGAAAGAGTATACAAGTTGAAAAAAATTGACGGAAAGTATTTTTGATATTTTAACTAGAACATTTGTGAATCTTTTTACACAAGGACTGAATGTCAAATAGCAAATTGAATGCACGTACCTTTTTCCACAGGGTTGCTCAGAGTCACTGAAAAAGAAAAAAAAACTATGTCTACAGAGCAAATAGAATTCCCAGAAAAGTTTGTGACAAAAAAACTTTTCTATTTGAAATACAGCCATTTTAGGAAAAAAAGTTCAAATTCAACAGACAAAAAGAGAATCCACAGCATCAAATCAAAAGCTTCCATACCAATTCCTTGTTTACTCAAGCAAATGACATCCACAACAAGATGGTGAATAACTGCTACTTATGCTGTATTTTCCCTTGTTATAAAATACATTTTGTATATTTGTACATTAGAAACATGACAAAAATAATCCACTGGTGACAGTGATGTGACAAGGTTACCAGGGCTCCCCTAGGAACTATCCAAGCAGTACCTCTATGCATATACTTATAAGCACGTACTTGTAGCTTGCTTCGTACCAGTCTGTAAGCGATCTTGACCTTCCTCAGTAAGCAACACTCCAATGCATTTCTGCATCAGCATACATTAAAAAAAAAATCACAAACCGTCTTGGCTTTGGCCTAGTCCGCAACAAAGGATACACTGTAATGACTCAATTATTTTTACACTTCCTACTAGCAGAGTTTTTACACCTCCTCCTTACTTTCCCATAATCATAGGAACAGTCTCTACTAACAGAACCCCTCAGAGCAACCAGCAAAGGATACATTGCTCAGTGTCTACTTTGACTGATTATTTTAAAAGCCATCATCCAAGTTTAACAGAAAAGATAAAGACATCTTTCTTTAACTGAAAATGGAGCAGTTCTGTGATATCTTGACAGAATACTGCTTGGAAGACAGATTGTTCATGGGATGGGAGCCTCGTATATCGAGTCCATAGCCTTGAATCCATGGTTGCAACTGAAATGTGTTGCCCCTTGGAGGAAGACAGGAATGAGGGGAAACTAGCGGCCACAGATCATCTCCCAGAGTCACAGTCATCTTACAAAAATGAGATCATACTTTTGGAAGACTCAAAGATTTAGGAGACTGCAGATACCAGAGGGGACCCCATCAGTAACTCTGTCAGACTGTACAGAAGCAGCAGCAATTGAGGGACTGGAGGCTTTTACTTCCAGCCCACAGCCAGCGCCTGGAAAGCGACTCTATCTTCAACACTCACTCTATCATCTTACTTGAATAACAAACCTGGAAAATGTAAATCAGAGTAGGAACCACGAAGTCCTGCTTTTACTAATAAAAGTAGTTTTTTTTAAAACCGTGCTAGCAAACAATTTTGATCTGCAAGCTCTATCATACACAACGATGTAGGTGAAAAAAGAGACCAAATATTTGCTGTGTCTCTGCACACTCAATTTCAGACGAACAAGACTGTTAGGAAACCTTTAGGTTTTTCCTTTGGTTTGCTGCGAATCAAACTATGAAGAGTACATCAGCTTTTCTCAAATACTGCTTGGTTCCCCCCTGAATTACATGTCGCACTTGCAGCATGGCCTTTCTAAGGATTTTACTTGAGAAAAGAGCAAACTCCTAAACAAAGATTATATAAAAGGTTTTATCGTAGGACACTGGGTCATTGTTCTCACTATGGCAGCAACCACCAACCAGACATCAAATCAAGGTCTCCTCTGGAGCACGACTTGGTGGCCACTGAAAGTTTAAAACCCAGTATTGTGAAATACCTCTAGAACACCACTCCCACACTACTTTTAATCCTCAGCAGTCTGCACAACTGAAGGTGAAGATCAAGAATCCAAACAGAGCATCTACTATTTACATGCTTGCAGTAGCTGAAATTGCAATACACAATGGAAACCTCAAAAAAAGAAGCCAACACATAAAGCCTTGCTATGTTAGAAATCTGGAAAAGAGATAACGTCCTGAGAGCTGGTTTTCAAGTAACTGCATATGCCAACAGTTAATGTTCAAATCCTAAAATAATTTAGTCATTTCAACTTCTGTATAGATAACCTCCTCCACACACACAAATAAAATGCACAAGAGAGAAAGATGGGGCAAAAAATTAGATGGGTGTAGGCAAAGCAGTGATTTTAAGCTGTGATTCTAGGCAGGGAGATGAGCTCCTGTCAGCTTAACCAGCATTTGCAGAATAACAGAGGCCCAATCCAAACCCCACTTAAATCAGCAGAGTCTTTTCTAATAGCTGCACTGAGACTTGGAAATAACCAGTGTTAAATATCAGTGAATTTGCACAGCACTACAAACAAAGCATATTTCAAAAGACTGACAGCATTTCAGGAAAATACCCTAAATTTTCTGTCATATTGTCTAATTGACAGTTACATGCACCTTGCAGACATCATTCCATGTGAATTCTTGAAAGAAACAGCCCACAATCTCAGAAATGGAATAAAATGCCGTGAAGTATATGGGGGTTTTGCCTAGCTGCCAATTAAAACAAGCTCGAAGAAGCTGCATTTCATTTTAGTCCCCATCGAGAAAAAAACAACAGGTCCTACTGCAATAGCAACTCTAACAAAAATCTGACTTAAAATTGCTGCGCAGTACCAGAAGGCAGCTCTTTTCGCAGAAACTTCTCAAACTACTCTTCTGAGAACTTTGACTTCCTTTATCTGG